GGGTTCTTCGGAAGGTGAAGGCTGGAAGCAAAGCCCTCCCTGAGGACGAGGCTGAGGTGCTGATGAAACGCTCCTTGTCGGGACGAGCGCTTGGCGGGTTCCGTCTGGCCTGACTCGGCTTGGGTCAAAGGCCGGGGTGTAACCATATGAGCTTGCACCCTGGGTCAACATTGGGCTTCCACCAATTGGAATCTGCCTTTTAACTCCCGTTAGACTGTTTCAACAATACACCAACGGGCTAACACTACAAATGGTATCTAGGGACACGAAGAACCTTGGTGGCATGGCTTGGCTCCACAAGCAAGTGTATGGCTCAGCCATGTGGAGATACTCACGTGTGGTTTCATGGCATTCTATATATCCTGCAACTGGCTGAGTTGTAGAGGATGTATTCGGAGCAGTGCTTGAAGCCATATCGGAAAATCTCCATATGGCGGGTTTACTATAGGATGTACATGCTCCATGTGGCCACTTACACAGGTCAGCCAGTTAGGCCCCTGGATGAGTAGAGAGGCTACAAGTGTCGCTCCCCAGTGACATTTTCCCAAACTCTTGTTTTTTTTTTTTTTTTTTTTTAGACAACTCACTAGCTAATGCTGTGCCGCTTCTCAAAGACGACGTCGGTTTCTAGAGACCAGAAGCCCTTTGAAGGAGAGAATAGGAATAGGAATTTTACTAATCAACCAGTCTTTATAGAATTTCTCTGACAAACCAAGGAAGGTTCCTCGCGAGAGTTAGAGAGAAAGAGAGACCGACCATATTTTACAATCGGGAATTGTCATCGATACCTTTTAAAGAATATTCAATCCTGTAATTATTTTGTTTGAATATCATCACAGGAAAGTAAAAATGTGTGAAAATAACCGTAAATCATTAAACAATGAGAAGTAAATTCAACCAGAAAAGGGAATATCGAAAGGTGAGGCGACATTCATTTCTCGAAATGTGGTGAGTAAAGTAAGATGTACTGTGGTATTAAACATGTTTCCTTTTCCTACTTTGAAACCTGTGAAACAAAGTCAGACACGGATATACGGCAGTAATTGTGTAGTCTCCTAAATGATTATTCATAGAAAATAGAAACAGTTACCAATTCATAGTAACAGCACGACACCATACAGATAGCACCATTCCATTACTGACAACACATGTGACTAAAAGCCCAAGAGTTGTTATGTTTCCGGAACTGCTCGTCCAGTTCAGGCAACCGAACAGACAGGAAGGAAAAACGTTCGGAACTTCAACTAACTTCTCAATAAAACAGAGACGGAAAAGACAAGAAAACACACGAATATGCCAAAGCCTTTTCGCTGTATTGTTTCTCGAGAGCTCCTGAAGATGCAGTGTAGCGAAAAAATATTTTGGAATGTGTGTATGTTTTCCCGTTCTTTCCCTCCGTTATTTTGTTTACGTTTCCCAAATAAACCCTTTTGTCCATCCAACTTTTTCGACTTGGACCTCGAGGAAGCGGAGCCGGATCAAACTGTTGCCGTACAGGTTTATGAGAATACGGCACCGGATGACAGACGTACGGCACCTGACGCAGAGTAAAGGGGGTCAAGGAATAGCCCAAGAGGGGACCGTTGGTGTTGCTTTTATTCGAAATTTCCTGAACATACTGAGAGGGAGCGTTAGGCCTTGATAGGATAAGCAGTTAGACATCAAAGAGAGAGAAAGAGAGAGAGAGAGAGAGACTGGGTGCAATATAGAATGAGATGGAGAGAGAGGATGGGAGAGTAAGAGATACTGAGGTATATACATATATATATATATATATATATATATATATATATATATATATATGTGTGTGTGTGTGTGTGTGTGTGTGTGTGTGTGTGTGTGTGTGTGTGTGTGTGTGTGTGTGTGTGTGTGGATAGAGAGAACAGAGATAGACAGAGAGTAAGAGATACGGGGGAGTAAAGAGACTGGAGAGAGTGATACTAAAATACAAAGTGATAAAGAGATAGGGGGAAGCAGACAGATGGAGAGAGAGTAAGAGAAAAAAAAAAATATCACTCGGCTCCAAGTGTCCTCGCAAACTTTGGGTTCGTATGTTAATCCCCAGAGAAGACCCACACGCTTGCCGTAGCAATATTCCAGTACGTCAGATAAATGTAATTTCTTTTATTTAAATCATTTTAGATTTACGTAATCCCTGTGGCAAACTTTTTTCATATGTATTATATTTCGTTTCACAAAAAAAGTTGTTTGGAATTTTTTTGTGTCAGAATAATTGTTTTACATTCATAAAGATTTGCGTTCGTAATGTTCATTAGATAAATTGCTCAGTATTTCTGTTATAACATGATGTTTTGAGCATCATATACATTTATATTTCTTACTGGTACGTATCTACTCCTTTCAAACATCAGAAATGTTTAGAAATATCGTGAAGGATAAACGATAGGAAAACCATTCCTAATTTCTCTCTCTCTCTCTCTCTCTCTCTCTCTCTCTCTCTCTCTTCTATATATATATATATATATATATATATATATATATATATATATATGTGTGTGTGTGTGTGTGTGTGTGTGTGTGTGTGTGTGTGTGTGTGTGTGTGTGTGGTGGTGTGTGTGTGTGTGTGTGTTGTTATGTATGTATGTATTTATGTATGTATATATATATATATATATATATATATATATATAGATAGATAGATAGATAGATAGATAGATACATGCATACATACATACATACATATACATATATCTGTGTGTGTGTGTGTTTGTGTGTGTCTGTGTGTGTTTGTGTGTGTATCTCTCTATCTATCTGTCCATCTATCTATCTATCTCTCCCTCTCTCTCTCTCTTTCCCTCTCCCTTTCCTTCCCTCCCTCTCCCTCTCTCTCCATCTATCTATCCATCTATCTATCCATCTATCTCCCGCAACAACGAATCCTCCCAATAAACGTGACGAATTCATTGCGACGCAGAAACGGACTGGCCTTGATTAGTCTTTTTTTTTTCCTTTTTATTCTTTTTCTTAGAGAATCAGGCCTCGAGGGAGCGTGAAGGGAATGGCCGGTGTAAATTAACTTGGGAAATGTTGTGACGTGCTGACTAAGATTTTTTTTTTTTTTTTTTTTTTTTTTTTTTTTTTTTTTGTCTTCTTGGAACTGGACACACATAGGTACGTTGGCGCGTATAAACACACATACAGACATGCGCATACACGTACGCACACATATACACACTTACAAACGCAGACATATACACACTTACAAGTGCACACATATACACTTACAAACGCACACAAACAAGCATACACTCATACACAATCACAAACACACACAAACATACATACATACACACACACACACCCGGACATATACACGCATACATGTACACGCTCATATCTTCATAATTAAAAAAAAATGAACAGACAAAAATGAATAAATAAATACCGATACAAAAGGATATAAAAATAAATAAATAAATACTGATACAAAAGGAGAAAACATGATAACGAAAAGAGATAAATAAAGAAACCCGAATATAAAACAATAAAGAGAAAAAAAAAACGTACGAAAGTGAAAGACAAATCCATGAAAGGAAAACGGAAGAGCAGCGAATTAATTCCCTCACTATCGGCGACGCTGGACCTGAATAATTGCACACAGCGGAGTGCTTCGGCGTCGACTATCGCTGTCATGCATATGTCTGTCCGAAAATGCGTTCAGAATCATGGCTTAATGCAGTGCTTTAATGAGCACTTTGAGTCCACGGAGTTTTTTTTTTTTTTTTTTTTTTTTTTTTTTTTTTTTTGACTTTTTTTCTTTTTTTTCTTTTTTTTAGTTTCTTTTTTACTTTTGACTTTTTCTTTTTTGTCTTTTTTCTTTTTTATTTTTTTTTTTTCTTTTTTTGTCTTTTTTTTATTTTTTTTACTTTCTTTTTTTTGTCTCTGTTTTTTTTCTTTTCTTTTTTGTCTTTTTTTTTTAGTTTTCCTTTTTTCTTCTTTCTTTTTCGTTTCTTTTTCCTTTTTTAGGGCGGTGGGAAAGGATGAATGTGTATGGTATGAGCAGACATTTCTATTTTTCTTATTTTTTAAGAACGTGTATGTTTTTTTCAATGGATGTATATTGTTTATGAAGACATTGCTACACTTTTATTAGTGAACGCGTATGATTTATGAAGACTTTGCCTTTTTCAGTGAAAGTATATAGTATATGAAGACATTAATGCATTTTCTTTTCAGTGAACGTGTATAATAGATGAAAATATTACTGCATTTTCTTTTCAATTAATGTATTAAGAATATGAAGTCATTACTGCATTTTCTTTTCAGTGAATGCGTATAAAAATGGAGACATTACTGCATTTTCTTGGCAATGAATGTGTATGATATATGAAGATATTACTCTTGCTCTAGTCACCACATAACTGCCTGACTACACATAAGCACTCCTCCCTAAGCCCTCCTCGCCAACATAGAAACGCACGAACAAACACTTAAGGCGGAGGCGAGATCCGTCCGCATTTGCATTCGCAGTCAGCCTCGCCATTTGTATTAGCTCCGTCTGCCATGTGGCTGCATGTGCTTATCACAGCGGAGGCGAGAGGTTGTGTCTGCCATGCAAACTCGCCGAGAGAATTCTTGAGACGTTTGCCAAGTTTCTTGTACTTCCTTGTATTGCTTTGTGTATTGTTTTATTTTTTTCATTTAACATCGAGATGTTTTAGAGTTGTTCGTAATTATAGGATAGGTTATATATAATACTAAATCATCCAATTGTGACTGTAAGAGGTATCAAATTGATTCATAACGTATCGTATTCGAAATACAAAGATCAAAGGCGTCATGATCGTGCAGGGTACATTCACTTCCCGTTATCATACCTACTTTAGAAGCAATACATTATTGACTAGAAGAGAGTACACGAACAAATAAACCTCATTTACATAACAGTTCGTCTCTCGCTTTTATGAATTCCAGTTAACGGACTTTTTCTCCTCTCTCTCTCTCAGAATCGTCGGCGTCCAAGAAGCGACGAGCAGGAACCGCCTCTCAGCCACGCCTTGACCCAGAACCGCACATCCGCCGAGTGAGACAACAGCGGCCCTTCGAGCTCTGACAAGATACCGACACGGATGGTTTTCGATTCTGCAAGTGTTCGTATTGTGTTAGAGACATGTGCGGACCATGACTTTGTGTTGCAATCGTACAATGGGTAGTTTGGGTGCTCGCTTTTTCCTCCGTGGGCCGCGGGGCGAGGCAAGAGCGACCTGAGTCCTGAGCTTTCCTCCGGCCAGCAGTATAGCATGAAAATCTACCTGGAAAGCATCAGCGATCATTACCATGCAACGTTCTGCATGATCCTCCCCCCTGAGCCGACGTCCGAGATAGCCGGTCTGTAATCGCCCTCCTGCAAGATGCCCTTCGGAGGACGCCAGAGTGAGCGCTACGAACTCAACGGCACGGGACAGCTGCAGCGCGACAGGACCTACGGCAGCATCGTCCGCGACCGCACCTACACCAGCATCGGGAGCTACACCAACGCCGACCCCGAAGCGCACTGCAACTTCATCAACGAAGATGATCTGGATTTCCAG